CTGCTGCTGCTGCTGCTGCTGCTGCTGCTGCTGCTGCTGCTGCTGCTGCTGCTGCTGCTGCTGGTTTTTTTGTAGCAATAAGAAAGAAATGAAATAAAAAAGAAGAAATAGATAAATCAGCAGGCACAGACAAAACTAAACAAGAGTGAGAAGGGCTCAATAAATATACTGGCACCTGCATATACACCACAAACCCTAAACCCTAAACCCTAAACCCTAAACCCTAAACCCTAGACACTTTGGTGGTTAATATACAACGCAGCTTTGGTCTCTTAAACAAATCGGAGCAGCAGCAAAACAGCAGCAGCAGCAGCAGCAGCAACAGTCGCAGCAACAGTAGCAGCAGCAGCAGCAGCAACAGTAGCAGCAACAGCAGCAGCAACAGCAGCAGCAACAGCACCAGCACTAAAACCAGCATCAGCAGCACCACCACCACCACCAGCACCGGCACCAGCAGCAGCAGCAGCACCACCACCACCAGCAGCAGCAGCAGCAGCAGCAGCAGCAGCAGCAGCAGAAATATATACATTGATGAGTCGGCCAGAGAAGTCTAGGGTTTTCCTTTTATCATAATAAAAAGAGAACAAAACCTCCGCAGACACCCGGTCTTGCCACACAGACAAACCCTCGCTCAACAGCTCACGCTGCACACACAAACCCTAAACCCTAAACCCTAAACCCTAAACCCTAAACCCTAAACCCTAAACCCTAGGGTTTGAATGTAGATATCTGTGAGTGGTTATAGAGCCTTACTGTTGTGTATTAAATAAACCCCTTTATATATTTCACTTTATAATCTAGGGTTTAGGGTTTAGGGTTTAGGGTTTAGGGTTTAGGGTTTAGGGTTTAGGGTTTACGTGTGTATGTTCATAGTCAAGAAGAGAAAGATGTAGAATAGAGGGAGAAAGGAGAGCTGCTGTGCATGCATCCTGCATGGGGTCAATAAAACATTTATCTATATTTTGTTTTTGTTTTATTGTTGTTTGTTTTTGTTTGTAGCTTGCTGTTGCTGCTGCTGCTGCTGGTGCTGCTGCTGCTGCTGCTGCTGCTGCTGGTGCTGCTGCTGCACCTCCTCCTGCTGCAGCAACAGGACCAGCAGCAGCAGCAGCAGCAGGAGCAGCAGCAGCAGCAGCAGCAGCAGTGCTGCTGCTGCTGCTGCGGAAGCTCTTTCTGCTGGTTATACTACTGTCTCTTTCTCTGTCTCCTTCTTTTTCTTTTTCTTTTTCTTTTTCTTTGTTTTTGTGTTTTATTTTATTTGATAGTTTTTTATTTGTTTTTTTATGTGAATATCTGCTTCTGTCTTTTTGTTTTATTTTATAACTTATTTTATTTTTTTCTGTTTTTTTATTTTTTTCTTTTTCTTTGTCTGTGTCGCTGTCTCCTTCTTTGTCTGTCTCTTTGTCTCCTTCTTTATTATTTATATATTTATTTATATTATTTTCTTTATTTTTATTTTTATTTTTATTTATATTTATATTTATATTTTTGTCTCCGTCGCTGTCTCCTTCTTTCTCTATATCTATATCTATATCTTTATCTTTATTTATATTTATATATTCATTTGTATTTATATTTATATTTATATTTTTATTTATATTTATATTTTTATTTTTATTTATATTTATATTTATTTCTCTCTCTGTATCTGTCTCTCCCTCTGTCTCTGTCTCTGTCTCTCTATCTGTCTCCTCGCCGCTGTCTCTCCCTTTCTCTGTCTCTTTCTGTCTCCCTTTTTGTCTCTTTGTATCTATATTTTCTTTCTCCTTCTTGCTGCTGCTGCTGCTGCTGCTGCTGCTGCTGCTCTGGGTTGGTGCTGCAGCAGCAGCAGCAGCAGCAGCAGCAGCAGCAGCAGCAGTTTGTGTTCGCTGTCTCCATGCTCTTCTGTCTCTGCGTGATGTTCTTCTCCTTTCTGT